CGGATTCGAAACTGAGGAGAAAACTGAATTTTACTGTTAAAATTTGGTCCACTTTTGCATTTATGAAAAACCAAGATTATAGTGCTTTTTGTAAAAATTCATCAGTAGGACTGAATGTAAATCTAACTAACATCATTTAAATCGGTAGAGAAATTAACGCTCTATTCAGCTATATACCAACGACAAAAAGTTTATATGCTTAAACAGCCAAAATTTCTTTGAAGAAAAGTCAAAAGCCATATATGAAAAAAATTCAGGAACACATTTCTAAGAAAAGTTGTCCAAGTTTTTAGTGAGGATAAAGCATAAGTCCGATGAAAAATATATAGTTCAGTATAAAAAGAGCGGTCTATTATTCTATGTACAAATAAGAAGTTTTAGTACTGCAGATAATAGTAAAAATAATTAGCTGTGAGATGGTTGAAAAATTGCTGCATGCAAACATCGCTGATAATGCTTTGCGAAAAATATCAAATTTTGGCCAAGACTCAAAGTAAACAAAGTGAAAATTATATGGATCGATGGAGTAATCGATGCTCTATCTAACTATATCGAAATAAGAAATATACAAGGGTTTTGTTTAAATACAGCGAACTGAACAAAACTATTCACACTAATATAATCAACTTATATTTCTCACAAAAGTCAACAGATTTATAATAAAGATAAAGAATAAGTCCAATGAAAAATAAATAATTTGGTAGAGGAACGAATAGTTTATTAAACTATATAAAAATGAAAGCTCCAGTATCTCGGCAAAAAGCAGTCATCGAAAAAAATTACCTCAAAAATGGTCTGAAAATTGCTGGGCAAAAAAAATCCTTTTCGGCTTCTTTTCGAAGTGTATCAAATTTCTGGACAAGATTGGAGGTAAACAAAATAAAAACTACATAGTTCGATAGAGTAATCAGTGGTCTATCCAACCATATAAAAAAAGAAAAACTTAAGTTTTGCAGAAACACAGTAGACTGAAGAAAATGAGCAAAACATAAGTGAATCATGCTGTACACCTAAACTGTTAATATGAAGCATTTCCATAGATGAACATAATGCGAACAACTATATTGATTACGCGAGTGAAAACTTAGACGATACCCTTTATGTAGTTTGTCCTAAAAGGCCGCTTCTATAAGTAGTTTCTCATAACTCTAATATACTTCAAACTTAATCGATTGTTGTTTTTCAATATGAAGGACATAAGTGTCATGTTTTTATTCGCAATGAAAAAATCCTTAAATATTATCTAAAGGTATCATTTCTAATCAAAATACAACAATTTACACTTCTGAATATTTTTTGAGAAAAGTATGATTGTGAAATTTTTTTATTTATCAGTATTTTTATTGTTTTTGTATCCTTGATATCATATCATAGATTACCTCTTCAATAATTTCTTCGAGATATTCGAAAAAAAAAGAAATCCACTAATCTGAAGCTTAGCAATATGACCATAAAAATACCATTGAAGGAATGGTTTAGGATACCAAATATACAAAAACAATAAGAATACTGATTAATAAAAAAATTTGAAAATTTTACTTTTTTCAAAAAATATACAGAAGTATGAATTTTTGTATTTTGATTAGAAATGGTATCTTTAGATAATATTTAAGGATTTTTTTCATTATGAATAAAAACATGACACTTATATCCTTCATATTAAAAAACAACAATTGATTAAGTTTGAAACATACTAGAGTTATGAGAAACTACTTATAAAAGCAGGCTTTTGTCACATACTGTACTTGTTTATTAATTGACCAAAACAAATTCTCATTTTTTTGACTCTAGGACGAAAAAAATGTTGCCGACGGAAAAGTACAGCAACAACGATTGATTGGTCCTCACGAGATCATTGACAACACGTTTCTTTTCATGGGAGCTCAATATGCGGGAAATGCGGCAGTAATGGCTTGTTGTTCTTACGTATTGGCTACCAATTATGACATACAGAATAAGCTTGTAGACGAAATTAATCACTTTCTCCCATCCACAACTCAGAGCAAGCTTGATGATGACATTATCTCCCAGATGTCATATCTCGATATGTTTATACTTGAAATTATCCGCATGTATCCACTTTCAACACTAGGAATCGATCGGCAATGCATGAAAGACACCGTAGTAAATGGTTTGCATCTGACTAAAGGTAATTATAGTATAATATCAGTAAAAACCAAGTGTTTTCTTCTTGTATTGATAGGTTCTGTAGTTCAAGCTGATGTGTATTCGGTTCATTTCGATCCTGATCTCTGGGGGATCGAAGATCCAAAGATTTTCTGTCCAGAGCGTCATATCACTGCGAAGCGGCATCCTCTTGCTCTATTATTCTTCGGTGCTGGACCGAGAATGTGTCCGGGCGTTCGATTTGCTCTCGTCACTATTAAAATGGTTTTGATCCGTCTTCTCCAACAATATGCCATTGTTGCCTGCCAGAATCAAGAGACAACACTAGGTCTTGAAGAAAAAGTTATTCATCTACCGACAGAAGCATGGATCAAGTTGGTTGCTAGAAGATCAAATTTAGGAAGATGAATTCCGATTGTGTCCTTTAATGATAAAATTTCAGAACTATACTTTTATTTCCAATTGTCACTCATTTCATATTTACAGAAGAGGTCCACGAAAAATGTATTTTATCCTGTTTTACTTCAAGATATATAAATTGAAAACACTTGACATTCCATGACTTCCATTATCCCCATTATTTCCATTGCTCAATTACTTCCTTTAGTGCCTTTAGTCCCCTTAGCATCTTTAGTAGTTTTGCTCAATTATTCATGTTACGAAAAGCGGCAAAATACATTAATGATGAGAAAAGGAAATTTTATAAAGTATTCAAGGTAAAGTTTCTTTTCTGGCTCAAAAGAACAACTTTGAAAGTTTTAAAGATGAAATTAAAATAGATAATACAATTTTCAACGCTCTCCCAAAAAGTTACATAGCATTTTCAAATATTGTTTTGACCATGAATTCGTTTGTTCGGATATTGGTGTTGACATCAGCCAAATCTGGACGTACGCTAATATTGCGATCTGTAAGACACATTGGACGATTATGAGTTTTTTTTTTTAATGAAGATGATCTATTTATGAGTCACACGAATCGATAAACAAGGTTATTTCTGTTGAAACTGCTGTTTTATTTTCATGAAGACACTTTTTTAAATATATCCAATCATTACAGGGGTAATCCTGGGGGTTGTAGGAAAATGCCGAAAAGGAAAACGCAGAAAAAAAAGCCGAAAAGGAAAATATCGAAAACAAGAATGTAAAAGAGGAAAAAGTTGAAATAAAAAAGATAGGAAAGGAAAATATCGAAAGAAAAATGTAGACGAGGAAGACATCAAATACTTTTAAAAATGTTAGTAGAAAAATTCATATTTTTTGTTCTTATTGATCACCCCTGTGACCAGCATATTTAAATCTTCATCGAATAAAGGAAACTCCCTAACATTAAATGCATATATTGTCAAAATGATGACGAAATCAGATTCTGAAAATAGTCCATCTAAAACTCCGCAATCTGAAATATCATTTGCTGTATTGAACAAAGCTAAACCATTATTAAGATGTGAGAATTACTTATTCAAGTGCAACAAATCAGCAGCAACCAAAAATATTGATTGTGTACTGGGCGAGATTGTGGTGTATATACACACAAGTGTTACTGATGAACTCGCGTGTATCAGAGGTAGTCACAATCATTCTGCAAATCCATATTACTTAGAACCAAAGATTTTATGTGATAGAATGGAAGAGCGAATATTAGCTGAAACTTCCTTATATTTTAACGTATAATCTTCGATTTGCAACTCATTTGTCCAAAAAGCGCCCGAATATCTGGCGCTATATTCAATTGATACAAAGTGAACATGTTCGTTTTGAACATATTTCAATTCAACTTGATGGTGGTGCAACTGCGCCAAAAGAATCAAGAAAAAAAAGCTTTTCAAACGAGATTTAATACTCTGCACGACAGATTTTCCAAGAAGAAAATTAACGCAAAGGAACTATTGTTAGGTTTATCATCGTTAATTAGAAGGACAAAAAAATAAAACGTTATTATATTGTCAATTTTCTCTCGTCTCTTTTTTTACAAATTAATAAATATAGTATTTATGCATCAAAAGGAATAGATTGATCATTTCGACATTTTCCTCTTCTACATTTTTCTTTCGATATCTTCCTTTCCTGTCTTTTTTATTTCAATTTTTTCCTCTTCTACATTTTCCTTTTCTTTTTTTTTACGTTTTTCTTTTTCAACATTTTCCTTTTCGGCATTTTCCAGCAAGACCTAATCCTGTATGAATAACCTTGGCATTGCTGAGAGTTTCTTTATTTTGCGTAACACCTTTGTCCAATGCAATAAAGTAACATACGTTTGTTCCGAAAAGTTAATTTCAAAAATATCTATGATAATGCCGCAATCGTACATTATGTAAATAACACCATAAGACCTAACTATTCCGTTAACGAATCGTGGATTTCGATCAATGTTGCATTCACTATTCGTAATGAGCTCTTCTTCAAAATATTCAGGCGTAAGAAGAAATTTGCATACTCTGCACAAACTAGGAATTAAGCTCATGTTTTTGTTATTTTTGGATAGAAGTATAGATTTATCATCATCTGGCTCATTTATTTTCCTTTTTTTTCATAGTCGGCACAATTACCATAAGTAACGCTCGTCCGCGTGACTCGCTTGACCCTCCACTGAATATTCAGCTCTTTTGGTGTTATATACTGCTTTCCCTAAACATCTAAGTTTGTTTCAAATCAATCTTTTTTTAAAATCGTTATTTTCATCAATTGTCTGTATTTCAATAGTTTATTTTAATTGATTTCATGAATTAAATGTATATAAAAAAACAAAATTAATTGTTCAAAAGTATAACAAAGCTAAAAGTTTCAAATTAATGATTAAATTTCTTCGAATATTGGTTTTAACCATTGAGCAAGATCATTTATAATACATATATCTTTTAATTGCTTGTCAACTTATTTGTTAATTGATTGTAATTTTGATTCATGACGTTCATTTTTATCTTCATCACTGGATGAGATTTCTGTATCAATAATTATTATTTTTGACTTATGTGTTTTGCACTGGGTTTTTCTTCTTTCCGTACTAGGAAAATATTTGTTGTATATTTTACATGCTCGTTTTAAAATTGATTGTTTAACTGATGTACAAAGATAATCAAATGGAATTGATGAAGAATTTGATTCCTTGTGAATAAGTTTACTCAGTTGCAAACGTTGAAATAATGAGCCATATAATCGATCTTGTTCTGAATCATTCGCAGCAATTACAAGACCCAATGAGCCTTGTGCGAGTGGAACAGGTGGTGGCGAAAAACGTTGCGGAAATACTTGAAAAAAATTTGAAAGCCACTCACTACAACAATCTTTTGAATCACAACGAACAATTTGTAATGTATATTGTGATTGTAATACATGACGACCACACCAACTTTCATCAATATTTAAAGATACTTGTGAAGTAAAAGATGAATTCACATAATAAGCAACCACAGGATGAGAATCAATAACTGTATTTGACCAAACTTCAGCAAGTACTTCATCAGCTTTTTTGAAATTTTTTTACCAATTCAAAATCAATTGTGTTGCCATTGATATCAAGATGAGTACCAAAGTGATCATTAGGTAAGATAAGACCAGATAAATCATGAGATAATGGCGCCATGCGACGCCTGATGGTATTAAATGCTGATTGACCAGGTGCATAAGTAAGTACTAACAATGCATCAGGACTATGGATTTTGAATATATCAATTGATGAAGCAAGTGTTTTTGGGAAACGAGGATTTTCATCTGGTCCACCATCGACGGTAATAATAACAATAGGTTTAACTTTATTTGAAGAATCAAGTGCAGCCGTATTAAATTCTTGTAACTTGACCAAACGATTAAAATCATCTCGTGGATTAGCTGATATACTTTTATTATATTTAGTCGAACGAATAGCAATATATGTTGAACCTGAATAACCAACATCTCCAACATTATTGATCAAGCATGCAGCATATACACTAAAAAAGACAAAATAGTTTGCTAAATATCTTCTAAAAAGTTCACTTGAAGTTACCTTGAAGTTAATTGATGACGAGATGCTGTAATAAAATCATGATCAGGTAGTTTAATGATATAATCAAGATGCATTAATAAAGATGCCTGTTTTTTTGGCAGCTGGTAAACCAATGGGCACTTTACACTTGTCATCTTGTGAAAGAAAAAAGACACAATTATTTCCCAAAAGTGTAGCTAAATCTTTTGCAAAACGAATAGCTGCAGCAGCAAAACGACCATCTTCGTACTTATTGTGAAGATTATTTTGTGCGTTTTGAAGACGTACATTTACTGTACGAACATGTTTTTTCCATCAACAGAAAGTGCACGACGAGGTAAAAGACTAAAATTAATATAAACAAATTTAATCATTTTTATAGTAGCAATTACCGATAATACAAAGTAGATCTTTTAATTTCATAACCTTTCATTTTAAATGTTTCACGAAGACCATCAAGAGTTAAACAAGCTCGAACAGTTCCAGTTTTTCGTCGATCATCAACAGCTCCACCAACAATAACAATTTCTTCAATTGTGGCAAGTAAATCTGGACATGTATCATCGATTGAAGGACGATCTTTATCTTGTCAAAATGTTGTTTTTAAAACAAGATCAACATCTGGATGAGATTCTGCAATTTCTTGTAGTTTATTTTTTTGTTTATCACATAAACGCTTTTGAGCAATAGCATGATTCCGAAGACGTTTGAGTCGAGATGATGTTAATTTCTTCTGTTTAAGTAAAATCTTTAATTGTTTTTCATTTTCAGTTGTTAATAAATCTGCTTCTTTAAGTTGGACAAGTGCTGTAATACGTTCACTAACATCAGCTAATTCATTAGATAATTTTTCTTGTGCAACACATGGAACACGATTAGTAGGATTGATTGTAGTAGTAGTATCAGTTGTTGTAGCAGTATTTCTTGTTGTAATAGTATTTGTTGTAGTAGGAGTATTTGCTGTTGTAATTGTATTTGTTGTTGTTGTAGTAATATTTATTGTTGGAATAGTATTTGTTGTTGCTGGAATAGAAGATAATGTACAATCGTTAGCAACAATAACATCAAATTGTGTACATGAATTAATACTAGATCTATTTGTCCAGATTAATAAGGTATTTTGTGGAACTCACATATATTTTCGAAGAAAATAGTGAGTGTAAATTTTAAGTTCGAGGTTTGGCGGCTCCCCACCCCCTCCTTACAGACAGGCCGCCATTACAGACCATAGCAACGGAGAAAGAGAACATTGCAGACTTACCGCCCCCCCCCCCCATTACAGACCATAGCAACAGAGAAAGAGAATATTACAGACATCCCCCCCATTACAGACCATAGCAACAGAGAAAGAGAATATTACAGACATCCCCCCCATTACAGACCATAGCAACGGAGAAAGAGAACATTGTAGACATACCCCCCCCCC